CCAGGTCATGAAAGGGGAGCACCTGCTCGGCAACAGAGAGAGGATACCATGAAGGAAACGAAGGAAGGCCTCCCAAGTCATGAAAGGGGAGCACCTGCTCGGCAACAGGGAGAGGATACCAAAAGAGAACCGGAGAAGGGCCTCCCAGGTCAGGAAGAGGGAGCACCTACCGGCAACCGATGGAAAGAGGAACGAGGATGGGAACATCAAAGGGGTCTCGCGCAGGATTGGACCAAACGCTTAAAGAGGAGGCGGCACGGAAAGGTGCCAGATAACAGAGGGATTGGGAGCAATGGCTAGAATCCATGCGGACACAGGGGATCAGGAGCGACTGCCAGAGGGGAGCGATCATGGAGTTCTATCTGGTTGGAGTGATACCCGGAGGTGGCGGGACGCGAAGCGAGCCCAGCATCGAAAAGGCAGAGTGGCCAGCGGATCGGGATGCGGAACTTAGGGAGCTCATGGAGTCGGAACTGGCACTCTTTGAGGGGCTGTAGGGGGTCTCGCATATCGCGGAGCACAAGATCCGGCTAAAGGACGATAAGCCTTTAAAACAGCGATATTATCCGAAGAATCCGGCCATGCAGAGGGTGATTGACGAACAGGTAGATGAGATGATCCGGGCAGGTGCCATCGAGCCGTCGCGTAGTCCGCAAAAAGATGACTGGCGAATGGCGCATGTGCATCGACTACCATCAACTCAACGCGCATTCCATCCCAGATGCTTACCCTGTTCGCAGGATTAATCACATCCTTGAGCGGTTGCGTCACGGCCGGTTCATCTCCACTCTGGATTTGAAGCACGGGTACTGGCAGATACCGATGGCGGCCGATAGTCGGGAATGTACGGCCTTCACGGTCCCCGGAAGAGGTCTTTTCCAATAGCGGGTGATGCCATTCGGTTTGTACTCGGCGTGTGCGACCTTCCAGCGAGCCTTAGACATAGGGCCAGAAATGGAGCCTCGTGCGTTCGCCTACCTAGACGACATCATGGTAATAGCGGCAATGAAAGAGCAACATGTAGAGAACTTGAAGGAGGTGTTCCGCCGTTTAAGGTCGGCTAATCTCAGGCTGAATAGGAAGAAGTGCAGTTTCTTCCGGGAGAGGTTGGTCTACCTAGGACATGTCATTTGTGGGGAAGGAATACGTACCGATCCAGAGAAGGTGGAGGCGAGGGCTTCGTTCTAAACTTCGCAACTTAGGAACAACCTTTAACAGCGCTCTTAAAGCAGTGGCGGAAATGGGCCTGGGATCAATAACAGGAGGAGGCATTGCGTCAATTGAAGGACAGCTTGACAACTACCCTTGTGATGGCTTGTCCAGACTTTTCCACCAGATTCGTCCTACAGACTGACGCGGGCGAGTACGGCCTCGGCGCAGTGCTGACGCAGACGATAGAAGGGCAGGAGTGGATTATAACGTACGCGAGTAGAAAGTTGCTGAAGGCCGAAGTGAACTATTCCGCCACCGTGAAAGAGTGCCTGGCAATCGTTTGGTCGATACGGAAGCTGCGTTACTACCTATAAGGGTACCGTTTCAACGTGATAACGGATCATCTGGCACTTAAGTGGCTCAACTCGATCGAGAGCCCTTCAGGCAGGATCGCGCGATGGGCACTGGAGCTACAACAGTTCCAATTCGACGTCCACCGTCGAGGGAAGCTCAACGTCGTGGCCGACGCACTATCAAGACATCCTCTAGAGACCTGTCAACAAGCAGTGGTAGCTGAGTCACCCTGCAAGTGGGTCGCGAGTATGCGTACTAGAATCGCCGAGGAGCCGGCCAAGTTCCCGGACTACATAGAAGAGAATAGGCAGCTATATAGGCATTTGGGCCACCGGACGGACGACGAAGACTACATTCCCTGGAAGCTATGTGTGGCTAGTGGTCAACGGCAGAGGGTATTGGCGGAATGTCATGATGCTCCCACGGCCGGTCATCAAGGCGTGAGGAAAACAGTGTGGAGGCTAGCCCAAAGGTACTACTGGATATGTATGTTCCGTGACGACGCCAAGTACGTGAAGTGTTGCGAAACCTGCCAAAAGTTCAAACCGGCTGGACGAATGCTGACGAGGCAGGTAGCGGAGCCAATGGCAGTACTCTGTGACAACTTCGTTGGGCCCCTTCCACGCTCGAAACACGGCAACACAATGCTATTGGTGTTTCATGATGCCTTTTCAAGTGGGTGGAACTGGTTCCTCTTAGAAGAGCCACGGTGACACACCTGCAAACCGCGTTCCGAGATAGGATTCTAAAAAAGTTCGGCGTACCCAGGAGGTTCGTGTGCGACAACGGAGTACAATTTACAAGCCGTAGTTTCAAGGCTTTTCTGGAGTCTTTGGGCGTAGAGGTTCAGTAAACCGCCCCGCAAGAAAATCCTGCCGAGAGGACCAATAGGACCGTGAAGACCCGGACCCAATGGACGTGGAAGAAGGGCGTTAACAGCAGACCTAACTGAAAAGAATAAGTTAACAATAGATAGAGGTTCCATATATTGTGAGCTGCACTGCTAGGACAGGGAATAACATAAGCAACCGATAGGCGATAAGTTAGTTGAATACCCAAAAGTCGTCGCCACAAACGCCGTGTGGAAGCGACGGTATCGTCGTCGAAGTAAGGGGCGGGGGGTGTGAGGCGCTCACTAGGTAGCCACCCCACAGTTCATAATTATAATTATAGGGTATAAGCATTGTATAGCATATAAGCATTGTATTATTAATAAGAACTGTTAAGGCAAGGTGCCGATGTATTGAAGCTAATTAAGGGCAAGGATCCCAGTTTGAATTAAACCGCCGGCCGCCGCAACCGTGCGTTGCTGATCGGTTGCTCAACACTGCCTTCGAGAGCGCAGCTTCAATTCGGCGGCGAAGAGCGAAAGCTCCGAAGCGAGGCTGCGAAAGCTCGCGGCGAAGTTGAGCGGCTGCGGCAAGCGCACGGCTCGCTAGCGAGCGAGCCGGCACTTTTTGGACAACGATCAGAGTGAGTAGACGTGTCGAGAAAAGGAGCGCGAGTGATAACAGTGAGGTGTCCAGCGAAGCGCTAGGGCTCCAAGGCAGTGCGGCAGGGCCTTAGTTTAGGAGATCCAAGAGGGAAAAGTTAATAAAACTAATAAATAAAGTGTATGTAATCAAAGTAATGGAAAGAAATGCTGATCTTTTTTGTGCTTATTTGTGCTAAACATCGGAAATAACCGAGGTTCACCAAAACCTACGGGGATAGTGTGGTTGGTGCGAGGCCAAGGCCCGATGGTGTAGATGGTGCGAGCCTGTAGCCTCCTAGTGTATTTAGTGCGAGGCCAAGGCCCGCTGGCGTAGTTGGTGCGAGGCCAAAGCCCGCTAGTGTAGATGGTGGGAGGCTACATCCTTCTAGAATAGGTAGTACGGGGCTGCGACCCAGTAAAGTAGGTGTTGTGGACATAGAGAAAGAGGTATGGTTAGGTCGGTACATTCACTTTTCCACCCCCCTAAACTCTCAATCCTAGCGAACTTATAAATGTCTTGTAAGTCGCTGGGCCTGGTAAGACTGAGACTCATACCCCGGCCAATAGCTTCCTTACAGTGGCTACAAAACGACCTTTTTCGATGCATTTAACGATGCATTTCGTTGTTCACTTCATACAGCTCTGTACTGCTGAGAAGTTGAATACTCTTAAAGAAAACACTTTTATATTATGTTTTTTCACACGCCATATTAAACGACCTATTAGAAGAGCTGCTGTGGCCCGGAAAGCAATCGGGGACTGGTGCCGATCCGACCAAGAAACAGCAGATGGCAATGCAGAGCACCTTCATGACTCATTCACGCTGCTCATTGGCGGACAAAGCGGACACTATCAGATTCTTGGAGCTAGCAAGTTTGGGTGACACACGCATCGCATCAGCATACCTAGACGAGATTGAGAAGAAGCGATAAAAATGCTTCCTAAAAACTGTATCCAGTTGCTGACCAACGTTATTAACCGATGCTTTGAGGTTGGACATTTCCCTTCCAAGTGGAAACGAGCTGAGGTTATTTTAATACCAAAGCCTAGTAAGCCTGAGGCAGATCTCTCCTCCTATCGTCCCATTACTGGCTGCTCTCTCTAAATTGCTCGAAAGAGTTTATTTACGTATACTGTTGCCAGTATTGAACGAGGCTGGTTTGATCCCAGACCATCAGTTCGGCTTCAGGCGCCTCCACGGAACACCGGTACAGTGCCATAAGATCGTAGAGCAAATAATAATTCAAAGAAAAGAAGTAATGCTGTGCGGTCATGCTAGACGTGAAGCAAGCCTTTAATAGGGTATGGAACTCCAGTCTACTGCATAAGCTTAAGGAAAACTTACCAGCATCCTACTTCGATTTTCTTAAATGCTACATCTCCTGCTGACAGTTTTACACTAAGAAAGCAGACTGAAAACAAGCTGGAAAAATACTACTGGTTGATCGGCAGGCAGTCCAATTGAAGCTTCTCGTTAAGCTTTTAGTTTAAAAATCAATTATCAAGCCAACATGGACTTACATCATCCATCTTTAGGGTACCGCCAGTAGAAGCAACATGTGCATTAGTCAGCGATTTCAACATAAAACTTCGCGTATTTGATCTAACGCGCATATTTACCATGGAAATAAGGTAATTCACAGCCAGCTAAATATTCCTTGGCTAAAAGAGGTTATTGCCAAGCTGAGTTATCGCTACATCGCCAGACTAGGCAACAGCTCAACAACAAGGCGGCTCAAAAGGAAACACCCTCTTGATCTCCCCCAAAGAATCTAACTCCACATATTCCACTGCTACTTAACTGTCAACGTTCACAGAAAACATTTAATTATTGCCCAAAAAGATTTAAAAAGATAATTGCAGATTTTAAAAAAAATAATAATTATGAAAAAAAAAAAAAATAATATATATAAATATTGAGTTTTTAAATGTTTTAAGAAATTCTACTTTCTACATCATCAAAATTATTTCTATACATTTAACTAATATGTTGTTCTTTCTTACCAACATTCATTTACAGGTTCGCCGGTTAATTTGTCATGTAATTATATAGGAGTAAAGTCTGACCCTAAGAAAGGAGTTTATCTTTATGAAGTACGATTCAATCCTCCTGTTGATTCCATTCATTTAAGAATGAAGTATTTAAATGAACACAAAAACCAATTTGGAGGAGCTAAAACCTTTGATGGATCCATCCTGTACTTACCGATTTTATTAGAAAGGGAATTGACAACTTTTGTTTCCAAAAATGTTGATAATAAGGATATTGAAATAAGACTTCTGTTTAAAAAAAAAGAGTCCCTTAAAAATTGTATACAATTGTACAATATATTATTTGACCGCGTCATGAAAACTTTAAATTATGTTAAATTTGATCGAAAGCATTTTGATCCCTCACGACCAAAAGTTATTCCCATGGCGAAGTTAGAAGTTTGGCCGGGTTATGTTATTGCTGTCGATGAATTCGACGGTGGTTTAATGCTGTGCTGCGATGTATCACATCGTTTACTATGTCAAAAAACAGTGTTGGATATGCTAATAGAGATTTATCAACACAACAAGATGAATTACCAAGACAAAGCAAAAAAATATTTAGTTGGAAGCATAGTTTTAACTCGATATAATAATCGGATGTATAGAATTGATGATATATGCTTTTCCCAAAATCCACATTCAGAATTTGAAACAAGAACGGGATCTCTTAGCTACGTTGAATACTACAAAAACCACCATAATATTTACATTAAAGACGACAAGCAACCATTACTTATAAGCTTAAAACAAATAAGGAAAGAGAAAACTGTCAATACAGAAAACATACAGTTTTGCTTAATCCCTGAACTTTGTTACCTTACCGGCCTACAAGATGAAATTCGGTCGGACAAAAAACTAATGCGTGAAATAGCAACTTTCACTAGTGTTACTCCAAATCAGCGTATTCTAGCTCTTGATAAATATTTTAAAAATGTATCTGAAAACGACGAAGCGAAAGAAATCCTCGAAAACTGGGGCTTATCGCTCTTTAAAAATTATCATAATGCAATTGGTCGCAAAATGGATCCAGAGCAAATATTTTTTGCTAACCAATGCATTTCAGCTGGTCATAAGGCAGACTTTTCAAAAGATGCCATAAGCAATGAAATGCTAGAAGTTAAACATATAAAAAGTTGGATCGTTATTCACCAAAAAACTGATGTCCGATCGGCAAAAATGTTTTTAGCTAACGTAGAACGATGCTGCGAAGCTTTTGGAATGAGCATATGTAAGCCAACTATAATTACATTAGAACAAGATAGAGTGGATACATATGTTGATGCTTTACGACGAAACATTAGTACTCAAACCCAAATAGTCGTTTGTATATGTCCGAATATCAGAGATGACAGATATAGTGCTATAAAGAAAATTTGCTGCTCGGAGCTACCGGTCGCATCACAGGTAATAAATTGATTGATAAATAAATATATACTTTAATTTCCTCGCATTAGATTTGTTAAAGTTAGTGCGGTAACCGAAGGCAATGTACATTTAGCCTGAAGACGAAAAGATTTAAAATCGTAGCTAAGTAATGAATAAAATCGGATGAGTTAAGAGATGGTATAGAAATGAAAGGAACTACCAATAAGAAAGCGAAAGTTGGGGATTTAATTAGAGCTGGGCAACAATAAAAGGGGTATTATCTATTATTTATCTACGAATGTCATTGTTGCGTCGTGCTGACCCAATATTCAGTAGAGATTCGGCTGCACATAGGATTTTAAAAAAAATTTTCCAGCCTGTAGGCGATACATTCGAAACCGACACATTTTTGCAATAATATTACTTGGCTTTGTTATTCAACGGAATACTACATTTTCAAATTTTAAAAAAGAATTTCTCTAAATGTATGCTACAAAGAAATTGATCGATCCACAGAAGCTTAAACGGGTAGAATTAATAAAATTATATACTGTTTTATTAAAATCGATGATATCTTTGTTCAGGTTTTTTATTTTTGGCCATGCTCATGGGTGTAAGCGATGCATAAAGTGTACCTGAGAAGGCTGTCAACATCTTCATTTTGCCTAATTCGTGAATCAATTAACAGTTTGAGTGCATTTAATTTAAAATCATTCTCATTCTATTGAAATACTGTAAACTCTTTGAAACAGTAGTCAATAGGATACCTCGCGCGAAACAGATTATGCTTACAATTTCAAAAACTGCCTTAGACTTAATGAATTCTTGTATGTCGAATAGTAGTCAAGCTCTTGTAGCATTATCCATTCAGAAATATTAGCATAGACTTAAAAGATTTTGATTTTTTACCGAGACAACCTCAGTAAAAAACTATTTGAAAATGTGTTTAAAGTCCATCGTGTAAGGAACAACCAGTTGAAATCAACGGATTCTGCCCAAAAAAAAGTATGTTTTTTAAACATTTAACCCGCAAGTCCATACAAGAGCGTTGAATTTTGCCTAAAACGTATCAAAACAAGTAAAAGGGTCTAGTCGGGAGCTCCCGACTAGAGAAAACCCTGAAACCTTTTATTCAACACCAAATACAGTTCGCGCAACGCGCTCGTTTGAAGTGATAAAGAAAACGAGAAAGAAAGGCTTTTTTTCATAATGCTTATAGTGCTTTGCCCGTATCTAAGAAGCACAGGGAAAATAGTTAATGCCGAGTTTGGGCAAGATATCTGGATAAACAAAATGTTTTTTCATACAACTAAATTTTGCATATATATGAGGAGTAAAGTGAAATTAATAAATGCCGAGTTTGGGCAAGATATCTTGAAAAAACCGAAATGTTTTTTCATTTTTTCATTTCATCTAAGAGCGTTGAATTTTGCCTAAAACGTGTCAAAACCAAGTAAGAGGGTCTAGTCGGGAGCTCCCGACTAGAGAATACCTTGAAACCTGAAACCGCGCCACGAGCTCGTTTGAAGTAATAGAGAAAAATAAAAAAAAAAAATTTCCCTTGGCAGGGTTCGAACTTGCAACTGACCTAATTAGTTGCTGACGACACTACTCAATAGCCACACCATCTCAAAAAAATAATAAAATAGTTTCCGACTCATAGCACCACTTGTTATGTCTCTACTCAACAGCCACACCAATTATTAAGTATTATTGAGAAAAAACGAACTGAAACAGCACAGAAACAATCGCAATTACAATGCTGTTGATAGAATTCGAAGAAGACGCACATGAATGTGTGTGTACATGTACACAGAAATTCTTGAAGGTTTCGCTAGCTGCCCCATCCAATTGCGTAGTACAACACATAACGTTTGGGTCTTTCTTACCCGATCTTAATGAAATTTTCTACAGTATATCTTATTGTGACATAGAATATTTGCGTATTCTCAAAAAGCTAATTGCATTAAAATTGTGGCTTAAATTTGTGGGCAATACAAGTTGAGTTGTTAACTTGATTTACAGCTCTGCGGTGGTAGCGGGGAGGTAGCGATGGGTGTAAAATGAAAGATACTTGATATATATAATTATATTCTAGAAGCAACATATCAGTTTGGTGACTCTAGCTCTTAATATTTACCCAATTCGCTCAAGAGAACAGGATGTGGATATTGATTTTTATCGATTTCTTGGAAACGGAGTAAGTTATCGATTATCGCAAACAAACTCGATCTACGCAGGCACTAGGAGGACCTACATCCAAAATTTCGATTAGTTTCTAGCTCTTATAGGTTCTGATATCCTTGTGTTCATACATACGGACAGACGGACATGCCTAGATCGACTCGGCTATTGATGCTGATCAAGAATATATATACTTTATGGGGCGGAGATGCTTCCTTCTGCCTGTTACATACATTTACACAAATACATAATACCCTCTTTAACCCATTTTAATGGGTTCAAGGTATAAATATTCCTATTGGAACCACATTAATATTTTGAGATTTAATATTCGGGCTACTCTTATTTTTGCGAATAAACAAATGTCCCTGGACACAATAACGACTTCTGCATAATTGTATCAAGATCGGTTAAAAAACAGAGAGGCTATAAAGATTTAAATATATTTTAATAAATTCACCACTGGTCGAGTGCCTGAGCTTCCCTGTTAAACTTTTGAACTTTTTTCTGCGCATACAGATAAAAATACACTTAATACACACAAAAGTGGCGCTTTTTATGTTGGCCTAAAGTAACTTCAATATTTATCGTCCGATAAAGCTTGGAATATTCAGATGAATTAATGGGAATTATAGAATTCTGATTTCAATACAAAAGGAGTTAATACACAAACAAATAAAAACGGATGATCCGCTCAGCTCGTCTTATAACGATGAATCTATATTATATAATGTCGGCAGTGCGCTCTTCAAATGCATACATTTGTACATATAAATACATATGCACGCGTGAACTTCCAAAGTTTATTGCAAAAATATAATATGCACATCTTTTTTAGCTGTTTGGTATAAGAGAACTAAGATGCTAAAAGATAGATACTGTGTTTAAATTTTTGACTAAAAAGATAACAAATCAATCAATAAAAAACTATAATAAAGAAAATTTTTGAACTCGAAAATTTATAAATTACTATTTCAATAAATAATAATCTGATATGTTAAGATACCGACCGATTGATCATGTTAAAGAATCTAATACTAATGAAATTGAGCTCATAAAATAGATACACGAACATAGCTTTATAGACGGCTGTGAATGATGAATAATATGTAAACTTAAGGTGTTAGTGCTTGAAGAGAAAGAGGAACACTTCAAAAAAAAAAAAAAAGTACAAGATTTTGGTTAAAATTTGTATTATAGTGCTATTATCTAAGCGGCGTACATTCAGGGCATATATGTATGCGAATTCGTTTCGCAGTATAACTGCCTTGAACTTAAACTGACATGCATGTCAGGCTATATATTTGTTTTCCACAATTTAATATACTTCAGTAATGTAGTGTATATTTAAAGGTAATAAATTCAAGGACGTTATCCAACGAAACGAAAAATCGTTCCATTGTCCAAAAGATTATTTTGCAAATGAATTGCAAAATAGGAGGATCATTGTGGACTGTAAAAATTCCCTTTAAAAATGTAATGATCTGTGGAATCGACTCATATCATGATCCTCGTCAAAAGGGAAGCTCTGTAGCTGGTATGTTAAATAATAATATTGATAAAATTTAATTCATAATATCGTAAATATTATTGCAGCATTAGTAGCTTCGCTAAACTCATCTTATACGCATTGGTACAGTAAAGCTGTTATACAAACTAAAAAGGAAGAGATTGTTAATGGACTTACCTCGTCTTTTGAAGCTGCACTAGAATGCTATAAGACACGAAATGGTTACTTCCCTGATAATGTTATAATTTACAGGTATGAGTACTTTTTATTAAAAGTAAATGTATTATTACTAAAACAAAAACTGTGTCAACACTTAACGTTCGAAAATTAGGTTTTAATATACTTCAAATTACTTTAACCGTTGTGCGCCAACTTAACTTTCTAATAGTATTTCCAAAAATTTGCTTGTTAACTAATGGAGAGTGCTAGTTGACTATCGTAGTTGGACGCTGTTAGCATTTTTTTTTACCGCTAGTGAATAGATCTAGCTCGGAGCTTGAGAAGCTTGACAACCTGAACAGTCTAAGAAGGGCTCCAGTTCATGCAAGTAAGGGGCTCTAGTCGGGAGCTCCCGACTAGAGGATACCCTGGACCTTAAAAAAAAGTTCCCTCGGTAGCGCTCGAACTCGCAGCAAACCACCCCACTTGCCGCCGCCTCTAATCAACAGCCACACCAATAATTGAGTTCCAATAAGAAAAACAAAACAGATAAAAATAGCACCACAGAACACAATTTAATCGCATTTGCAATGCTGTTGAGATAATTAAAAAAACATGCGTATTAATGTATGCTGCCGCTGACATGTGGGATGCCAATATATATATATATATAGCTACATGTTTTCTTCAATAAATTCTGTGCTTCTTAACCGATCTTAATAAAAATTTTGAGACACTATCTTATTATACTACAGAATATTTGTATATTCTCAAAAAGAAATATAATAATATATCAAATATACAAACTATTCTAGAAACTGCTCGAACCAATTTCGGTATCGATTTGGATTGATTACTTGGAAGCGAAGCAAGATATCGATTATCGGAAACAAACTCGTACTGCCCGGGCATTAGGCCTACGTTTCGAATTTCAAGTCTTTATCTCTTATAGTCTCTGAGATCCTTGCGTTCATACATACGGACGGGCGGATAGACAGACAGGCATGGCTAGATCGACTCTGCTATTGATGCTGCTAAAGAATATATATACTTTATGGGATCACTGATCTTCGTAGCATGAAATACATACTCACCATTTGAACCCAATTAGAAACAAGAGGTTCTAGTCGGGAGCTCCCGACTAGGGGATACCCTGAACCCTCTTATTCCAACACCAAATAAATTAATAAAAAAGGTTCCCTTGGCAGGGCTCGAACTCGCGACTGACCGCACCACTAGCTATGCCTCTACTGAGCAGCCACACCAACAGTTATGTACTTATGATAAAAAAGGAACTAAAATAAGATTACAAAAAAAAGATGCAACTACCATGCTATTAGAATGCGAAGCAGACGCGCATGAATGTGTGTGTGTACATGTATACAGAAATTCTTAAAGCTGCTGCCCCATTCAATTGCGCAGTTGCTTCTTTATAAAATTTTCTACAGTATATCTTCTTGTACCATAGAATATTTGTGTATTCTGAATAAGTCAATTGCATTTAAATTGTGGTTTAAATTGGTTGGCAATAAAAGTTGGGTTATTAACTTGATTTATAGGTCTGTGGTGGTAGCGGGGAGTTGGCGATAGGTATTAAATGAAAGATACTTGAAATATCTCGATTTTTATCGATTGCTTGGAAACGGAGTAAGTTATCGATTATCGGAAACAAACTCGATCTGCGCGGGAACTAGAAACATCTACATCTAAAACAGACAGACGGACATGGCTAGATCGACTCGGCTATTGATGCTGATCAAGAATATATATATACTTTATGGGGTCGGAGAAGCTTACTTCTGTCAGTTACATACAGTTGAATTTTGCACAAATACAATATACCCTTATACTCATTTTTAATGGGTTCAGGGTATAAAAATTCGTTGGTGTTTCCGGTTGTTAATAATATTGAAAGTGCAAGTAGTATCGAAATTGTTTTGTAATTCAAGCAGGCGATACAAGTGTTGGAACCGGTAGGATCGAATTACAATACGATTCTAATGCATTTTTATATCAGATATCTTAACCAGCCTAGGCATTTCCTAGTTTTTCTAAGCTCCTTACATGTAAATCTCAATCAACGATCGGTCGATAATTTAGCTCTTATATAAAATACTTTTTTCAAGACATTGACCAATCCCGTTAATTATTAGTTTATATAATACATAAAAGCCATTTTATTAATATTGCAGTACTATATTTTAAAGAATTATAAGAAGAATCGATCGAAAAATGATTTGTATAATATATATTATATGTTGTATATTATATTTATTTGTTTGTTCATCAAACTCGGCATTCCCTTTTTTTTACTCATAATATATAATTTTAGCTTGGTAGAGAGGAAAGAAAATTGTCTTACTGTGATATTATCTAGATTTTGTTACGTAAAAAAATTACTAAGCCAAGAAATAAAAACTTGGCGCACAAATTTGAGGTCTAGATTCGCTTTTTTGTTATTAGCAGCCTCATCTGCCTTCCTCAAAAAGGGATCTGCAAACAAAAAAAAAAAGATGCTTTTATAAACTCACCTTTATAATTCGTAAAGTATTATAAATGTGTTATTTTATATCTTTGTCGTTGGCAAATGCATTTGTTATAACCTGAACTTGTTAAGAATGGATAAAAATGGTATAATGTATTTGTGCAAATCTATGTAACAGGCAAATGGAAGCATCTCCGGCCCCATAAAGTATATATATTCTTGATCAGCATCAAAAGCCGAGTCGATCTAGCCATGTCCGTCTGTCAGTATGAACGCAAGGATCTTAGAACCTATGAGCTGGAGATTTGAATTTGTTTCCGATAATTGATAACTTGCCACGGTTATCGGTTATCGATTACTTGAATCGATAAACATTGATATCGAAATCCTTTTTAGCAAGTTTGCTAAATAATAAGAGCTAGAACCACCAAACTTGACATGTATCTTTTAGAATAGTACTAATATATATATATATATATATATGTATATATATATATATATATATACATATATATATTCAAGTACCTTTCATTTTACAACCATCCCCCCTTCTCGATTTTACCCCATAGCTATAAATCAAGTTAATAAACAAACTTGTACTTAAGCCACAATTTTAATGCAATTGACTTTTTGACAATTGATCTTGATCGCTTAGGAAACATAAATGATATTAAGAAAACGTTTTTGGCTACATGCGTAAATTGCATGAATTTCTGTATACATTCATGCGCGTCATCTTTGAATTCTATCAACAGTATTGCAATTGCGATTGTATTTTTTTCTGCGCTGCTATTTTAATCCTTTTTTTCTCATTAAGCCTCAATTATTGGTTTGGCTGTTGAGTAGAGGCGGCAGCAAGCAATGCGGTCAGTTGCGAGTTCAAAAATTTGTATAACTACTAAAGCAAACGAGCGCATAGCGCGAGCTGCATTTGGTGTTGGTAGAAGTTGTTAGTTCAGAGTATCCCCTATTTTACTTTTAATTATTTGTTGTTTCGCTGCCTTGATCGCAGTCTGTAGCGCAGCTTGTTGCGCTGTCCCTTTTCTGTTCTCATATACACGCGCCGAGTCTGCGTTGCAGAGAGCGTCTTATCTGGCTGTTGCTAAATCCTTGCGTCTGGTTTGATTACCACGCTGCGTACAAGTGCTCAGCTTGTTGGTGTCTGTGCGTAAAGTAAGTCGTCACACATTCTTTGTGGACATTTATGTTAGACGCTAGTTTAATTTGTACTCGTGAGAGTTCCAGCATTACCCGCAGTTAATATGTAATTATTATATTTTTTATTTCAGAGATGGGGTTGGCGATGGTCAGTTGAATGTATGTGCCAAGTACGAAATTCCGCAGTTTGAAGTGTGTAATAAGAGTATTAAAATTACCTTTATAATAGTTCAAAAGCGTAATAATACTCGATTCTTTTCGGTAAGTTATTTAAAACTATATTATCCATATATAAAAAAATACTTTAGTCCCCGATAATAAAATAAATAATGGAGCTCGAATGAATTTGAACAATGATCTTTAGTTTGAGTTTGAGACCGATCGGATGGTAAAGTTTCATAAAAACGTTTTTCGCCAATTCACCGCTGTAGAGTTTTGAGCTGATCTGAAGAGAATGTACAAGCGCCAGAAGATCGTATGTTCTGATTATCTTAACATTAATTTGCTTTATGCCATCTAAAGGGTTTTATTGGCGAAAGATTGCACGTGTCCTAAACCAGTATCTTGAACCAGTGAGCTATATCTGTCGTGACGTCGAAATGACAACAATGTGTACATTATAGTTGTGTTGATGATAGCCAGAATGTTGCTAGTACATACAAAAACTCCCTTTAGTGTTAAAACGCTGATATCTAATGAGTTCGATGTCCTTGATGGTGCCAGCTGAACCATTTTCTTGATGTAGAATCGCGTTGGTAAGTCAAGTAATGTGATGTAATGCAAAACTTTAAAACTTATGCTACACCGCCAGAGGCTGGTTTTCAACTTGAATGTGAAGCCAATTATTGCGAGCGAGCTTACCAAGCCAGATATCCATCAGTGATATGTTTAATATTATATATGGCCATGTCCTGATTTTAGGCACTCAGTTACGCTGCCTGCATCCCAATCGAGAACATAAGACAGAGCTGAGTTTGCATTACAAGAAGTCTGGAAAACAAATTTCTTTTATGTCCATGCTGATGGGTGCTGGAGACACCACAAACCGGAAGTCGTTCAGTGGATGGACAATAAACTTCAAATTATGCCAGGTCCAACTGTTTGATTGTCTTCAATAGCTACAGCATGTGATTCAACTTTAAAGGAACCTACCTAGCAATCTCCTCATAGCCCCGACAGTCAGCAGATCACAACAAAGGTGGGGTTGGGATTGTCTTGAAGTTGGAGAACGGTGTTAAAGTTTGCTAGCGCCTCTGCTCTGGCCATGTTCGGCCTAGACCGCTTCCTGAAGATTATGTTTTAGAGCACTCCTGAGTGCGAATGTTTCGCTTCCACGTCACACTCAAACTTCCATCAGAAATCAACCCTTTAACGATAGTTCGCCCACAAGAACGCTCGTTCGGACTCAGCAATGCAGCAGCTTACGTCGATAAATTCAATGTTACGTGCACTTGGACCACACTACGCCCCACGAAAGACTCGTCCGCAACGACTAAAACGGAGCGCAAGTTGCCTGACTGACTGACTGATTGGTGATCAACGCACAGACAAAACTTTAAGAGCGAGGAAGCTGAAATTTTCAGTGTAGCTACCTTATGTGATGAAGGTGCACGTAAAGACGGGGCTTTGTTTGTGTGAAATCGCCCTCAAACTCATTTTCAAAGATCTATTCAAATTCATTTGAGGGGTGTTTCACACTTCTCGCAAAATGCATCTCTCCTTGGTGGAAATGGGGGTCAAAGATTTGGTGGGTGACGTTTCGTGTTCAAATCTATTTCCAAAGTTCTTTAAGAAGAATCATTTGAGACGTGTCTTACGCGTTTCGCAGAATCCAAGCTTCCTAGGTAGAAGATTCAAAGATTATTTCGGAAAAGTTTTAAGTTATTTTCGATTTGCATCAAACTTATTTTCAAAGCTCAATATAAAAATAATGTAATGAATACGTGTTTCTTCGATTTAGAAAATTCCATCCGCAACTGTGGAAATTTGTTTAAAAAACTTAACATAACTTTTTGGGTGACTATCGATATCAAACTCATTTTCAAAGATCAGAAACTGTTTGACACGCCATCGCAAGGTTCACCGTAATTTGATGGAAAATGCGGGTCAAAGGTTTAATAAACGCACATTTTTTATTCGGCCTCAATATTCTTATCACAAGACTAAGAAGGGCGGAAACCTCTGACGACATTTGGTTCCTTATTCGATGCACTTTAAACATATTTTTGAATATAATTGGAGATCTAGATGGTACGGGTAGATAATATACAAAATTTGTAGCTCAAAAGGTTTCACGGGCAAGGCCGGGCAATACCCGCTAGTCTCTCATATTTTTTCTCTCAGAAGTCGGAAAATGAGCCACCCTGCCAGCTTAGTTACTTCGATTTGAGCTCGATCGAAGCTCTGGTGTTATGGCGCAAAGTATCTATTAGGCGTATTGTCTTCCTGAATTTCCAATAATTGAATTAAGGCAAAAATGCTTATCATCAAGTCACGAAAGTACACGAAATCATTTGGCTCCATACAGCGTACATTCGGATTTGTGTATTTGTGAAGCGTATAAGGAATCATGGACTCAATGTTGCAGATGTTCGTCACGGGACTCGGATCCTTCTTCGGCTTGTACAGAGAACGAACTTGTGGAATGATATCAGGGAGATTCGTTCTCACGGAAATGTGTAAAACCCATCTCATCTTTTGCATCATTCCTGGATGAAGGTGATCTTCTCCGTGTGAGTGGCAGGCTTAGCAATTCGTCTCTAGACTATGCGGAGCAACATCCTAATGTTACGTTTCATGATTGGAATTTAAACCCTGGTCTCCGCGCTCTCCTAGATAGCGAGTCTTCCCAAAGAGCGCGTGGAAGCCTTTCGAGCGTTCACCGTAACGTAAGTCTATTATTGCGGACCTTTCTTCTATAAGTCGGAAGCACCTACGAGGTTCTTATTATACTCGCTTTCAGAGAAACCTGCCCGACTCCTGTCCTGGCCTCTTGTTAGGTTGTCCTCTAACAGCCATCATCGAGCCTAATTTAACCAAACTAAACTACAACCGCTTGTTTGGATGGCAGCGAGTAAGACAGCTGCAACAGGTGTTCTGGCCTCGGTGGAAAGAAGAGTATTTCACCTTGCTGAAACACTGGGCTAAACGGCGTACTCAAGCATTAGCGTTGTGCGTCAATAACATGCTCCTCGTCAAGGATGAAACATCTAAGTCCTAGGAAGGTTGAAGTATCTCGTGTAGCCGATATATGAACCACACCTGGACTCATGCAAAGAGCCGTAAACAAGTTGTGTCTCCTGCCTCTTAATAAGTCTGTTGAATGTCATGCTTTTAGGAGTATGTTTGACTCTGCAATAGTCGCAATTAGCGTTAGCAAACATTAAAGGACGTACACGAAGTTTAGCGAAACATCTGTTCATTGAATAGCTTAATATCTGTACATTCGGCAAAATGCATTTTTTCCACTTATAAACATCCAACTTTAAACCACTACCAGCCATGATCCAAATGGAGATACCATTAACAGCAATAGAAGATGTGTTGCCACTACAGCTGATTAAAGGTCTCCATACTAAGAACATAGAGAGGATAGGCGCTTTACGAGCCAACTTCAAGACTAAAACCATTACAAATCTCGAAGTAACATGCGGAATACTATTGGTTTTCGTAACCTACATAATAAAACTCAACTTTGCAGACAAACCATTATTATTGGGGTAACAGCTACACCCACTAGCAACAAACAGCGACCAGCCAAGGTTAGCGAAACAGAAGGTCCCCCGGAAAATAGCATACAAAACATAAATACATTCACGATCACCGAGACTTTCGAGATCAGAGAGGCAGGATATAACACCTTAGTTACCCAAAATACCAACATTTGAATAATCAGCCTTTTTACATTTGGTTTCCATACGTGACAAGTTAACGTGCTAGGAAACGCTAACAGCGCGTTTGCTGGCCAGCTACCATGGAATCAGAAATTCGCCAAAACGATTGCACAAGAATCAGCAAAGTCAATAGAGTTCGTTGGTTCCCAAGCAATGTGAACCCCTGCGAATTGCACCAATTCCGCATTTCTACAGACGCTGGCAACGCAGACATCAAGAACGACATTTCCACATTAGACCATGGTTTTCTTAGCTTATAATTTAGACATTAAGTTTAGTTTGTAATTAAACTCATAGTACTTATAAATTTATTTAAAAAAATATTTTTTTTATAAATATCAACCCACAAATTAGATCAACTATGCATTCTTCTGTAAGAAAAGAATAAGCATGTGTTTGCATGTGTGCATATCTCAGAGCGGTGATCGTGGATGTATTTATGTTTTATATGCGATCAGCTGCGAGTTCGATCCCTGCCAAGGGAACTTTTTTTTTTTTTTAATTTATCTTTATTAATTGAACGGGTCATTAAAATGAACTACTGAACTTATTCAGTGATTTGTAAACTAAATCTGTCATTTAGTTTATTCGTTCAGCTATTCAGTCGGTCATAACGATGTATTTTGTACTCGTTCAGTTGGTCATGACCGATACATTCTTGATACTCGTTCAGTCGGTCATGACCGTTGTATGCAACTCAGCAGTTCAGTCGTTCCAGAACGATACATTCTTTTGAGATGTTCAGTTCTTATTAAACATAAAAGGTAGCGGGATTTTAGTTTCACTTTTGATTTGACTGCATAACTGAACTAAGCGAAGTTCATGACCGACTGAATAGCTGAGCAGAATTCATCGTTCATGACCGACTGAATAACTGAACGAGTGAACTAACTAACTGATTTAGTTCACGGCTAGAAATTTAACGAGTGAACTTATTTAGCAAATTGAACTAGAAATCCCCACTCTAGCGAACAGCATTTGGTGTTGGAATAAGAGGTTTCAGGGTATTCTCTAGTCGGGAGCTCCCGACTCGAACCTCTTGTTTTTTGCTAATATATTTTTATTACTGCTAAGGCAAACGAGATACATTTGGTGTTGGTAGAAGAGAGGGTTCAGGGTATTCCCTAGTCGGGAGCTCCCGACTAGAACATCTTACTTGTTTTTATATATGCTTGGCATATATATGTTCATATGCAGTACCTAACAAATAAAGACGAACGACGAAAATAGAGTAAGAGATTGAGACAGAGACAGGAAGAACCAATTTAAAAGATACAAACAGTGTCTTACCTCACCAGTGTTATTGTTTGCAAAGATTATGAATAAAAATCTATGTCATTTCTATATGGAATTGGTGGTACTAGCCTTGACCAGGTTATACAATATCGATCTTACGCACTTGACAGCAGTTGCTTGATAAATAAAAAAATATCTAAAAATTCCTTAATGTAGTATCCTATCAAAATTCACTTGAAAATTGAGTTGCTTTATAATGAGGGAATAAATAATTTTAATTACATCAAATAATGTCTAATCAAAACTTAGATTAATGGCTGCTAAACAATTTATTTTAAAATTTTCAGGAAAGTAACAACAATTTCGAAAATCCTTTACCGGGGACGGTGGTTGATAAATATATTACAAGAACGCATATGTATGATTTCTTTTTGGTTTCACAAATGGTTCGACAGGGTTCCGTCAGTCCAACACATTTCATTGTCTTACGCGATGATGCAAATTATGGTCCTGATATCATACAAAAATTATCTTATAAGTTATGCTTTCTGTATTATAACTGGCCTGGAACTGTACGGATTCCTGCATGTTGTATGGTAAGTTTGCAAATTTTTTCCAATAGTTTTAAATGAGAAGTTGACAACGTACGATATAAAATGTGACAATGAACCTAGGAAAAAATCAGAATATTCACAAAAGCCTTTTGTATACTTTTAGCATTAGATAGGAACTATGAATACAGGTTGAAAGTATTAATATTCTATATATAAAACTGGTTGTCCTGACTGACTGACTGTGATTAAGGTGCACGTTAAGCCGGGGTTTTGGGAAATTCCACCCGCAAGTATGCAAAAATCGCGAAAAACGATTGTATGAACATTTTTTGTTTACCATCATTTTAAATTATCTTTGTTCAAATTCATTTGTGGGGTGTTTCACAAAAATGTATTCCTCCTTGGTGGAAATGGGGGTCAAAGATTTGGAAGCTAACGTTTCCCGCTCAAAATCATATTCAAAGGTCTATATGAAAAATCATTTGAGACGTGTTTCACACTTTTCGCAGAATCCAAACTTCTTTGGTAGAAATGCGATTCAAAGACTTTTTGGGCTGTTTTAAGTTTTGTCCGATTTGCTTCAAACTTATTTTCAAAGCTCTACATAAGAAGTTAAGGAATACCTGTTAAGGCGATTTGGGAAGTCCCAAACGCAACAGTGGTAAATTGAAGTAGCAAGTAACTTCGAAAAATATGTGGACATACATTAGACGAATGTGCATACTTCAGGATGCCTAGCCATTGTCCCCTGTCAGTATGCATGAACGCGGCGATCTCAAAACATATCAGAATTGGGCTGTTGTTTTAAATTATCAAAACCTTGCTTAAAATCATGTGTATATACTGTGACCCATTCAAAATTGAAATCAGTAGAAAGCATGTCCGACGCCGTAAAGAATATATATTCTTGATCCGCATCAACTGATCGACTTATCTGATGTAGCCATATGAGCTCGTAAATCTCAGAACCTAAAGGAGATAGACTAAAAATTCACAGTGTTTCTATAATTAATAAGATGCCCAATTGATAAGAAGTGCATAAAAATCGATATCAAAATCGTGTTTTTGAGCAAGTGTTAAGAACTTTATTCTTTAATTGTGGAGTGTTAATCAAGTTTTGGTAGAAGAAGGTTAGGAGTATCACATGCTAAAGGCACTGAGCAACGAACTTTCATTGATCGTAAGATTTTAAGTCCAGCTTGCTAACTATATCTGTGTACTTATAGGATAAGCATATACCTTAAAAAACGTCTGGAAGTAGGTAGGCAATGAAAGAGTCAGTATTCGCACACGCTCAGTCACAATTAACACGTGTTTTGAAGGATGTCCCCTATATCCCTCCCTTATATGCATGAGTTATCAATAATTTAAAATAGTCTTGGTAATAGGTGGACGTATACTTCAAACTTTTAATCTCTAGCTCTTATAGTCTTTCAGGTCTACGCATTTAAAGAGACAGGCAGGCAGACAAACGAACAGAGAGACAGACGGGCAGAGGAATGCGCTCTGATAGTTTGGGCTAACGCCCGTTTTTATATTTAAATATCGAGTTTTTTTATATGAGAATAGTATAGCGCACACTACTAAATGTATGGTTAGCGTATGCAATTTCTCATCATAATATGATATTATTTTGCCCTTTTCTTTCAAAAACAAGGTTGTTCTAGTCGGGGGTGCCAGCCCCTTGCTCTACGAGCTGGTTTGTCTTAGTTTTTTACTTTGTATTTTTTTTTTTACGCCAAAGTATATATGAGGAGTATACTAAAACAGTATACCTAGATTGCCAAAAGGATTGCCAAACAAGAACCTACCCGCCGATCTATCGTTCATATGATATAGAGATCCAATACAGAAGTTTCCGACATATGTATTGCCTGCGAAACAGACAGACGGACGAAGGGGCAAACGAACAGACGAACATGGCTTTAATTATTCGGCTTTTAATGCTGATTTATGACAATATGATTAAAAATCCTAAAATTATTGAGGACATATAGGTACTAATTTATAAATCATATTACTTAATACTTGTAAGTTTGCTTATTTTGTTTAATTTTTAATATTTTTTCAGTACGCTCATAAGATGGCTTACTTAATTGGTCAAAGCATTCAACGCGATACTGCCAGTAACTTATCGGAAAAGCTCTTTTATTTGTAAAAAGTGTTTATTAAAATTAAAGTATAATTATAAACATTTTGTGAAACAAATTCGATAATTATACCGCAAGCAATGAAGAGCGCAGTTATATTAATGTTTTTTAATGTTAAGTATTATAAGTTGTTTTATGGAATAAAAATATATCTTTGCGCTTTAAAATGGGGTTGTCTTACTTAGCTTTTGCTTTCAATAAAATTGTGTGCGCTTTTACATCTTTGGTAGTCTTTAACTGTTCTTTTGGAGAGGGCGGTTTCGACTGGGAGCTTTTCAAGCACAGACGCCAGTTTAATAAATAAAACAAGTAAGAGGTTCTAGTCGGGAGCTCCCGACTAGGGGATACCCTGAATCCTCTTCTTCCAACATCAAATGCATATATTTATATTCAATTTTAGAAGCTATATGTCAAATTTGGTGACTCTAACTCTTATTATTTACCAAAATTGCCCAAAAAACAGGATATCGATATCGATTTTTATCGATTGCTTGGAAACGGAGTAAGTTATCGATTATCGGAAACAAACTCGATCTGAGCGGGAGCTAGGAGCACCTACAGTAGTTTGTTTTTGATAATCGATAACTTACTCTGTTCCCAAGCAATCGATAAAAATCGATATCGACATCCTGTTTTTTTTAGCAAATTGGGTAAATAATGAAAGCTAGAGTCACCAAACATGATATGTTACTTCTAGAATATTATATATATGTCAAGTATCTTTCGTTTTTAACCTATCGCCACCTCCCCGCTACCACCCCAGAGCTATAAATTAAGTTAATAACCCAATTATACTGTAGAAAATTTCATAAAGATCGGTTAAGAAAAAAACAAAGTTATATGCAACTACGCAATTGGCTGGGGCAGCAGCTTTAAGAATTTCTGTATATATGTACACACACATATTCATGCGCGTCTGCTTCGCATTCTAACAGCATGGTAAATGCGACTTTTTTCTGTAATGCTATTTAAGTTCCTTTTTTATCATAAGTACTTAATTATTGGTGTGGCTGCTGAGTAGACGCATATCAAGTAATGCTGTCTGTCGCGAGTTTTTTTTTGCTGGTGTGGCTGTTGAGTAGAGTCGACAGCAAGTAATGCGGTCAGTTGCTAGTTCGAGTTGTAGCTCTTGCTGCTCCGGTGTAGTAAATGCGAACGCTGCTTACAAAGACTAAAGTCAGCAAGCTGGAAGATTTCAAAATTGAGTTCTACAGCTTTCAGCTACAGGAGTATAAGCCAGGTGTATAAGAGGGGTGGTGGTGAAGGGGTTTCACTACTCCACGTTGCACCGCCATATGAAAGAAGAGATGCTAAGCAAAAAGTTGTACACAAAGAGCCAATAAATTTGTTCTCCTTAAACATTGAGACCGCGTCCAACAACAGGGACATACATAATATTAAAATAATAAATAGGCAAAAGATCAAGATCGAGGCCATGCGCAAGTAAAGTGAGATCGCCCAAGGCAGACGCTGCCAATGCTATGGACATATTGCCTGCTTCTGCCGGATGCAGCCACGATGCGTCCGATGTGGCCAGAACCACAGATCCTCGGAATGTGACAAGCCAGCTGGCGTACCACCCAACTGCGATCACTGTGGAGGAAATCATTCTGTCACCCCCAACAAACGCACTACTAAACCGAGTCGGGCTCATCAGGGTGTTCAAGTGGCTGGTTGCGTTGCTTACCAGTCTCCTGCTGCATGGGATAACGCCGTCAACAATAACACTACTCAATTCACGCTCTAGGGAAATTGGTCTCTGATATGACTAAAGCCATCGACCGGTTGCTGAGATGCAAACTCAAATGTGGGGACCCAAAATCCATTCCTTAGTATTTTCAACACTCTGGTCTAAAAATGACCTCCTTACGCATATTGATCTGGAATGCTAATGGCATTTCAGAAAAAGCGCCTGAGCTTGAGTTTGTCGTTCCTATGAGCGAAATAATACTCCTTCACAACTTTACGCCAAGGATCTTTATTTATCAACTATACACTTCCAGTACACTTCAACGAGCTAGGGTCAGAGCAGGTGTTGCTGTGCTGGTTAAAAATGAATTAATGCATTACCCGCTGGTCACAATTGCCAACAGTTCCTTCTAGTTATCTACGGTAAGTGTGAATACTGCTTTAGCAGTCTTCGCTCTGCGCACGATATACTTCCAGCCCAATGGTAAAATCGAAATCAACGATTTCAACATTATTTTCAACTCCGTGGGACCCAAAGCGTTTATAGGCACTGGCTGTGGGGTGACCGCACTATAGATGTCTGGCTTCCCGTCGGGTAAGAGTCCTAGCGATAGGTTCTTTGCCCTGTATCAATAAATACCCATTAGGATTATAGGGATTTTAAACTCCTGGCACCTGCACAGCGGAAACTTGGCTTTAATTGTGGAAATTAGTACCCAGCCCACGGACGTCTTGCCAAACTATAGGGTGCTCTCTAGACACTCTTTAGTTCCTGTCTTGCAAAGTAAGCTGTGCGAAACCATCGATCGGAATATGGAGCTGCATATGATTCAGCAGATTGACGATGCAAGCAAGCTGCCCAGCAGGCAGGTCCTAGCATCACAACACCACGTAGGTGTGTGTAGGCACAGCTCTCTATTGTAAAAATAGAAAGATACGAGACTTGATTAGATTAAACAGAAGGCAGCGCAGGCGTTCCTTTCGCACCTGCCAGCCCGAAGACAATGCTCTGTGGCAACGCTAATGCCCCCAACTAAAAGAAGTGCTCAAGATCCAGAGAGTAGAGCACATCGAGTAGAAGCTAGAAGCATTGGATTACACAAATGATTCTGGCTACTCTCTATGCAAGGATACTAGGTCACAACTGGGTTGTGGACCACATCGTTAAGCCATACGATGACAAAGAATACTGTAATGGTGTTTTTGTCGACGTGCAACAAGCATTCGATCGAGTATGGCACAAGGGCCTCCTCGCCAAAGTGTTCTCTGTCCGTTTTTCTACTCGGCACAACTTCCACCCTTAGTGGTAAGTCGCTACTTGCCTCATACGCATACGACTTCTGCTTTTTTTTACTGGGCGCTATGCGAGTTCGCAGTAGACGACGTTATCCTTTTAGGTCACATATTCAGGCCACAGTCTCAAACAGTAGGTTTAAGATAAGTCGCCTTTACTGGATGTTATGCAAAAGATCCAAACTCCCCTGTGGGGTAAGAGGGTAATATATAACGCTGTGATCGGTCCTACCTGAAGATATGGTATCCAGATGTGGGGAATGGCTGCTAGTTCAAACCGAAAACGTGTCCAAACTCTCCACAACAAAACCCTTCGGTTGATTGCGATTGGTACGAGCGCGGTTCGACCCTTCACCGTGACTTGGAATTAGAAACTGTTGAGCTGCAAATCAACCGCCACAATAGCCGATATAGCGACCGTTTTAAAACACAGATGAGCAGACTGGCCCGACCTCTCTCTGTAGCTCGTCCTATCACCCGGCTGAAAAGGCGACATCACCATACACTGCTGTCGTAGAAAAAAAATTTAAATTATCCTCAAGTATTATTAAAATCTTGTCCATATGATAAGGTGTGGCATTCAAAACTTACTCTACCTGCCTTGTTATGGCCAATATTGCTGGCCGTTTCCTGGCATATCTATTAAAACAAAAACAAGTAAGAGGTTCTAGTCGGGATATCCCGACTAGGGGATTCTCTGAACCCTCTTATTCCTACACCAAATTCAGCTCGCGCTACGCGCTCTTTTGATTAAGAAGTAACAAAGATAAATTAAAACAAGTAAGAGGTTCTAGTCGGGAGCTCCCGACTACGGGATACCCTGAACCCTCTTCTTCCAACATCAAATGCATATATATATTCTATTTTAGAAGCTATATGTCAAGTTTGGTGACTCTAGCTCTTATTATTTACCAAAATTGCCCAAAAAACAGAATATCGATATCGATTTTTATCGATTGCTTGGAAAAGGAGTAAGTTATCGATTATCGGAATAAAACTTGATCTGCGCGGGAACTAGGAGCATTTACATCTACAATTTTAAGGTTCTGAGATCATTACGTTCATACATACGGACGGACGGACGGACAGACAGACGGACATGGCTAGATCGACTCGGCTATTGATGCTGATCAAGAATATATATACTTTATGGGGTCGGAGATGCTTCCTTCTGCCTGTCTCATACATTTGGATTTCGCACAAATACAATATACTCTTATACCCATTTTTAATGGGTTCAGTTTATAAAAATCGTGAGTTGTCTTCCGTATTAGGTTTCTTGTACCAAATACCCAGTAACATTGTCTCACGATGGCAAACAGTGCTAAATCACCTGGTTGCAGATGCATAAAGTTCTCGTGATTAAGATGATCCGGTGCTTGGCATGGAAGGTCAGTTCCGAGTTTATTATGCGCGACGGTCCAAAATCCTCAATGATTGGCAGTTTTGCGTCGTGAAAATCGCAAGAAGAAGGAACTCAAGATGCGTACAAGTTTTGTCCAGCAGGACACACGGTTGACCAGCTCGTCAAGAAGAGATGGTGCAGGTTTGTTCAATGCCAAAGTTAACAATGTGGCAATCTGTACTTCTTTCCAAACACGGTCATCCAAATTGAAAAGAGAAGTTTAGGCCGAGTTTTTGTTTGTCATGTTACATTTTTCATCATGAAGCCCTTGTGGCCATCACCAAAAGAGATCGAATTTAAGCAGATCTGCGTCTAGGAAGCGCAATCTGAGATTGGCGACGAACGTTTTCAATTTGGACGGTGTATTGGGTGACTAGTCGTAGCAGTCGACTCAGGAACAGCGCTCCACAGAGTGCTTGAGTGGTGTAAGTTATGTAAATTTTACATGACCATCTTCATATGGAAGTCGAATGTAAACAGAAATCTTTGATTAGATTGATAAGGAGGCACAGTGAATTCCTTCAATGCAATAATATGTATGCGAAATTTTCGCCATTGATTTGCCAAGTCCAATGGGAGCTGAGAATCCCAATCCAAGTAATGCAGCAGTTGCGCTATTGAGCTTTTTCAATAGCTTTCACAAATAGAAATAAGGAACCTTATTTTATTTCTTTTGTTTCAATTTGTTTATTAAACCTTCTGAGAAGCAGGCAG